ACAAGAAAAAGGAAAATGGAGGCATAACACTCCCTGACTTTAAACTATATTACAAAGAAATAGTCCTTAAAAGTATTGGAACAAATGCAGGCACTCAAAGAGAGAGTCCAGAAATGAATCCATAAACAATGGGTGTCTAATTAGGTGTCTAATTTACAATAAAGGAACTGAGGCCAGACAATGGAGAAAGGATAGCCTCTAACAAACAGAGATGGAAAAACTGGATAGTCATAGGCAAGAACATGAAACTAGATCATTACATAACACAAGAAAATGAATTCAAAATGGATTAAAAACTCTATTAGACTTGAATCCACAAAATTGTATAGAAGAAAATGCAGTTGATTCACTCTAGAATCTCTACTTCAGAAATGTATTTGGGGAGTTAACACCAATGGCATATGAACCAAAAGCAAGAAGAAACAAATCTGACTATATCAAATTAAAGTTTAAAAAAAATTGTGCAGAAGGCACATTTGGTGGTTGGGGGGGGCGGGGCTACTCTTGATGTTGTGCTCAGGGAACTATATACTATGTAGGGAATGAACTGGTTTTAGCTGCATGGAAGCTAAATGACTTAACCTATCTTTCCAGCCCGAGAATAATCTCTGATCACAGAGTAGAGAGCTGCCCTCAAACACCATCAGGTGTGGCCCCAAACCAACAAAAATTTTTTAAAAGGGAAAGAAAGGAGAATGGAAGAAAAGGGAAGGGGGAAAAAAGGAGAGAAAAGAACGTACCATAAAATAAAAAGCAACCTATCAATTGGGAAGATGGTTGCTCATCATACAGCCTACAGAACTTAATATCCAAAATATATTAAATACCTCAGACAATTAAAAAAAGCAAGGAACCCAATCTTAAGAAGGGTAACAGTCCTAATTAGACACTTGTCCAAAGAAGACAGATTGCCTACAGACACATGAGAAAATGCTCAACATCATTGGTTATCAGGGAAACACAAATTAAAATCACAACGAGATATAGTCTTACACCAGTGAGATTGAGCCATATGAAAAATATTGAAAATAGTGTGTCTGGGCTGGAGCTAGAGCACAGTGGGTAGGGCGTTTGCCTTGCACGGGCTGACCTGGGTTTGATTCCCAGCATCCCATCCCTGAGCACCACCAGGAGTAATTCCTGAGTGCAGAGCCAGGAGTAACCCCTGTGCATCACCGGGTGTGACCCGCCCAGAAAAAGCAAAAAAAAAAAATAGTGTGTCAAAATAAAATACTTTTCAAAATTAAAAGATTGAAACAACAAGTGTTGGTGAGGATGAGAAGAAAAAGAAATCTTGGTACATTGTTGATGGGACTATACTCTGATACAGCCTCTGTGGAAAGAGATATGGAGGAGATACCTTTAAAATAGAATTGAATTGATTTTCAACAAACAGAGCAATAAATAAGCAAAAGGAAAAATAATAATAATTGAGGTCTGTCTGGAAATGGGACTTAAGAGGAGAGAACTTGCCTTTCATGTATGAGTCCCGGGGTTTGATTCCTGACAGCAACAAAAATAAATGAATCACTTAATCACTTAAGCGGGTTGGGCATTTTCCTTGTATTCAGCCACACAGAGGTTGATCCTTGACATCCTCTATGGTCCTATGAGCTCTGAGAGGAGTAATTCCTGAGTGCCGAGCCAGGAGCTACCCCTGAGCATTGTCAGTTATGAACCCCAAAACAAAAACAAACAAACAAAAAGGGTGCATATTTCATGGAATAGTACTCTGACATTTAAAAAAATAAAGTAAAAGACTTGTTTTATGATTGTCCTTCTCTCTCGGAAAAGAGCCTAAAAACGACACTGCCATAGCCATGCTGCTGGACCCTGCGTCAGGCAGTTTCATTCAGGCCGGAGGGGTGGGTGGGTGAGGTCATTCTCCACACCAAGGGGCCTAGCCCCAGCAGTTGAAAACCTCCAGAACTCAACTGTGGCCTTGCTCAGGGTCACTCTCCACACGCTCCAGCTGAGCCTCAACCACGAGTAAACCTATCCCTGGACTGACATCTCATACCTCACACCACTCACACTCCAAGAGTAGTGCACCACATTTGATGGGGTTTAAAGTAGAAGGCAACCAATCTTAGAGGGAAATACTTCTTTTTACATATATATATATATATATGCACACAAGACTCAACCCTTAACAACATATTAATAATCTTTTATAGAAAGGCTTAATGGCCCCTGAGTGAAATACAACAATCTTCACACACTCTCCTCTAAGGAAAACTTTTTGGAGCATTTTCAGTGGTTTATTCATAACAAACAATACAAAATAAATTGTTTTGATTCAGCTTTGGGTCAGGGGTTGGGGTTTGAGATGGAAAGATCCAAAATATGGTGGTGGGCAACACCCATTAAGAGAGAGAGAACAAAAGGGAATGCCCTGCCACAGAGGCAGGGTGGGATGGGGGGGATGGGAGGGTGGGATGGATACTGGGATGCGTGGTGGTGGGAAATGGGCACTGGTGGAGGGATGGGTATTTGGTCATTGTATAATTGAAACCCAAGCACAAAAATTTGTAAGTCTATAACTGTACCTCATGATATCTCACTAATAAAAATTAAAAAAATAAATAAAAATACAATACCAAAGATAAAAATACAAAAAAAAATATGGTGGTGGGAAGGTGTAATGGTGGTGGGATTGGTGTCTGAGTATTAAATGTAATCTAATATTACGAACGACTTTATAAAAATAAAATAAAATTTTAAAAAATAAAAAAAGATTAAATTTTAAAAAAGGCTTATTTTGCCTACATGTGGAATAAGAGTTACTAAAGCAAACTGGTAAAATAACAACTACACTAACTCCTAGATTCAGTGAAAACTACAGTGGCTGTGGGGGTGGGGTGGGGGAAGAAAGGGAAAGAGAAAGTGCTGAGAAATAATATCCTTGTAGGGTGCTTTCCTTGCATGTGGCCAGTCCAGGTTCATTCTTGGTATCACATATGTTCTCCTAAGTTTTGCCAGGCAGAGATCCTTGAGCACAGGGCCAGGAGTAAGCACTGAGTACAGTTGGGTGTGGCCAAACAAAACAGAACAAACCAAAAAGGGTGGAAGAGGAGATGGGAAGAATGTGCAGAGGTGACTTTTTGGTGGTGGGATGGCACTGGAACTTGGTGGTTAGGTGAGTTGAGTATTATATACATAAAGGGGTATGATGCCAACCCCCATAAATTCTATTATATTGAAAACTGATGATAGCTGGAGCGATAGCACAGCGGTAGGGCTTTTGCCTTGCATGCAGCCAACATGGCCGACCCGAGTTCGATTCCTCCGCCCCTCTCGGAGAGCCCGGCAAGCTACCGAGAGTATCTCGCCCGCATGGCAGAGCCTGGCAAGCTCCCCGTGATGTATTCAATATGCCAAACACAGTAACAACAAAGTCTCCAATGGAGACGTTACTGGGCCTGCTCGAGCAAATCGATGAACAAGGGGAGGACAGTGACAGTGATGATAAATCAGTAATAATAAGAGACAACTGACTCTAAGATGTGAGAAAGTATCTGGATGAAATATTTTTTCATTAGTCATCTTCTAAAAAAGATGACATTTGAGGATACAACTGTCCTATACTAAGTGAAGCAAGTAGCTGTGTGAAGTTCTGGGGGAAGAATGTTCCAAATGAAAGGAAGCAGTTGCTACTGAAACTAGAATAATAAGACATGCTTGAGGAACCTCAGGAAATAAAGTGTGACTCATGTGAACTGAGTAAGGGAAGATAAGAATATGAGGGTTAGTATAGTAGGCAAGATCCTCATCATGGAAACCTTGAGAACATGGGTTTTTCCCTCCTACATAACATGAAAGCTGCTGAAGTCCTGCTATTGGAGGAAGAGGGCATTGTGAGAGGGAAAATGGGTGGCATAAGGACTTAAGCAAGAATATGGTGATGGAAGTGAGGTGGAGATGGTGAGAAATGAATAGATCCAGGATTTATTGAAATATAGCAGTAAGTTTTTGTTAATGAAACGTGAGGACAGAAGAAGCTTGAGGAAAGAAGAGATGAAGCTTTTTTTTTTTTTTAGATTTTTATTAGTGAAACACCATGAGGTACAGTTGTAGATTTACAAATTTTTGTGCTTGGGTTTCAGTTATACGATGATCGAATACCTATCGAGATGAGGCTTTTTTGGACATGAGGCTTGAGGAAGGAAGAGAAATCAAGGAGGATGTTCTGGTTTTGTCCAGAGCAACCAAAAGTTGGAACCAACCAACAGTAGGAACAGTTGCAGAGATCAGAAAGTCAGATTATAGAGTAATAAATTTATATCAAAAGTCTTTGTGGACCATAATAAATTTATGATGACTGGTTAGACTTTCAAAGGAAATGTCAGATTGGCTGCTGAATATGCTTTCTCTTCATAGAGTTAATGGGCTAGGTCTGAGGAGCATCTGAAATATCCTTAAACCATATTTAAAAACACCCAACAAATTCCAATTGCTTTAACCCATTAGAGTTCACATACAACGCGACTTCATGAATTGGCATGCATAGATCATATTTAATTGACAAAAGTAGATTATTGAACGTGCATGGCTTTCTTCCATTTATACGCATTGATTTCCAAAGCATAGAACCAGTTATACATATTTCATTCGAAGCTTGAAAGCTGACTAGAATATGACCGATGGTTACCTTAGATGCTGAGCTTTATTCTTTCTCGTTCTTGTTCTCTTTAGTTTAAAATACCTCGGCAGCCATGCATTTACCTGGGCCATCTGTCTTTTTTTTTTTTTTTTATTAAAAAGGTGTGTGTGGGGAAATTCATCAAGCTCTCTCCCAGGATGAGTTTTATTAGTCAGGTGGGGGACGTCAAGGGGATCAGGGTGATGGGTGGGGAGGTGGGGGTCCACATGCAAAGTAGGCGAGGCGAAGAGGCCCCGCCCAAGATCCGAGGTGGGGGCGGAGGGAGATGGTGAAAGGGCACCGCCCCTGCCCGTCACGTGCTCTCCGACCGCCAATGGCCGTCTCCGAGCCCACCTTGGGGATGGGGCGGGGCGCCCAGCTGGCGTCACCAGGACAACGGGCGTTGCCAGCGCCTTGTGACTCGGGGCTGTGGGCGCGCTCGCCGCTCTTCGGCCATGGTGAGTCTTGGGGGGTTCCCCCCCTGCACCCCATCGCCACCGGCCCGGCCGCCCCGCCCCGCCCTTCCCGGCTCTTCCCCGCCGTGGCCGCCCTGCGGGTGGCGTTGGGGGTCGCGGAGAGGCCGAGCCGCGGCCTGCGGGGAGGACCCTGGGGCCTCCAGCGACGCGGCGTTCTGTGCTGCCGAGGGGCTTGCTCGCAGCCCGGGGGGTCGGCGTGTGGTCCCCGCCAGGGTGTGGTTTCATCCGAGTCCCAAACGCCAGCGTTCCCCCGAGGGAGGTGCGGGCCGGGAGCCCGGGCGCGCCCTGGGGGCGCTGTCTCCGGGCGCGACCCCCGGTTCCGTGCGACCCCCTCGCCCCGACCCCCGCCGCCGCCGCCGCCGCTGCTGCTGCCTGCAAGCCGGGCCTGGGAAGGGGACCGGGCAGCGCGGGCCGCGGCTCGGGGATTCGGGAAGTCTCCGAGCCTAAGGGATGCTGGACGCCGGCTCCGGGGACCACCTGGTGCAGATGCCGACGAGGGGCCCCGGGGTGCGAGCTGGGAAAAGGAGGTCGGCGTCGGCGTCACCCTCTCACCCCCACCCAGCGGCTGGGTGCTGATCGCGTCCTGTCTGCGGGGATGGAGGGGGGTGTTTAGTGGAAGTGTTGGGGAGCGGAGGGTGCTGGGTGGGGAGTGGGCACCTCCCCTCAAGCCCCACCCTGGGGGACCCGCCCCTCTGCGCCCTAGGAAAGACGGGGTCTTGGAGTAGGCGGGGACGCGCATCTCGCTCTTACTTACCCTGGGAAGAGCAGAGGAGAGGTCGGGTCTGTGGCCTGGAGAGAGCAAGGCGTGGATGTTGCTTGTGGATTCTAAGTGGTTTTCAACAGCCAAAGTTACGGGGTGGGCGAGAGAGTGTCAGATACGGAAGGTTCCTTTCATGTCAGCTTGAGAAAAGCCCTTCTACTTACAGCAAGGAGGGAAAAATGAAAAGTTCTCGGAATTTCAGCCTTTACATCACTCAGAACTTCCGTTGCCCTTTTTTCTTTGCCTTTAATCAATCGCCCCTGCCGGGCCTGACTGTACTAGACCTTGGTCGCTATTGTAAATTTTAGATGTCTACTTACTCTAGAATAAAAGCACTTTACTTTTCTACTAGTGGTTGTTTTCACTAAACTTGAAAATATTTCTTGTGTATCTTATGAGTATTTTTAAATGTATGTGTGGGGGGGGGGGAGAGTGCGAAGGTTGGGGGCCACACTGGAAACCATTCCTCCTAGAAAGTCTCTTAAGCATCCAACCAGAGTCAACTGTGTGCATAAGACAAGTTAATCGGGGCTGGAGCGATAGCACAGCGGGTAGGGCGTTTGACTTGCACGCGGCCAACCAAGGTTTGAGTCCCAGCATCCCATATGGTCCCCTGAGCACTGCCAGAAGTAATCCCTGGGTTCATGAGCCAGGCGTAACCCCTGTGAAACGCGGTGTTTGACCAAAAAGAAAAAAAAAGTTCATCCTTGGCCTCTCAGTATCCATATTGCAAACCATAATGCCCAAAAGTAGAGAGAAAGTAAGAAGGAAATTGTCTGCCATAGAGGCAGGGGATGGGATGGGGTGGGGTGGGTGTGGCATGAGGGATACTGGGGACATTGGTGGTGGGAAATGTACACTGGTAGAGGGATGGGTGTTGGATCATTGTATGACTGAAAGCCAATCATGGAAGCCTTGTAACTATAACTCATGGTGATTCATTAAAATAATAATAATAATAAGACAAGTTCATCCTTGTGCTGCCTCTCTGGCTCAAGGATTTAGTGTTTGACTCCTGGAAGGTGGTTGAACAGTGAGCTGATGGCTGTGTTTCAAGGGAAGTGGGGACAAGTTGGTGTAGGAGGGAGCTTAAAGTAGCTGCCATATAATCTCCCAAATTCTGTTATTCTAAATTACATACTAGTAATTCACTGATTGCACTAATTCTAACTTTATATCCAAATGTGAAGACAATGCTGTCAATTGATATACTTGATTTTTCATATTCAGTAACAATTTCTTCATTTGAAGTACTCCTTACTCTTTCCTCTATTATCTTGACAGTTGACATTTAGACTGTACACTTTCTATGTTTGAAACATTTTTCTAAGCACATTTTATAAACACTGTATTTTCTAAGCATCACAGCTACCCTACGAGGGAGAGAGAAGTTTTTCATTTTAGAGACAAGGAAATTGAGGCGTAGCGAGGTGAATCAAGCCAAATCAAAAACCAGGTAGCTTGTGTCAGAACCTGCTTTATAATAACTCAATTATGCTGCATCATGTATGTGACACTTATGTAGGGAAATTCATTTTCTTCTTTGGACTTTGATATTTTGGGTCCTTTGCAAATAGTTGAATTTTGCTGTCCCTGGTGCTGTTCCAGATGCTGTGCTCAAGGCATGCCTGCCCAGCCTTCTCCTTCCTTTTGTTTCCCCCATTATTCAAAGATGAGATGAAGAGCAATTACTGGCGACCGATGTTTAGACTAAGGGCCATACTCAGAGCAGTACTAGCAATAAAAGTTTATCCTACCCTTTGGTTTGTATTCAGAAATTGGCATCTGTATTTTTGTGGATCACAGTGACCAGTGTTTAAGATAAAACCATTTAGACTTGGGGATGAAATGATCTTTTTTAAACATTTTTATTGAATCACTGTGAGATAGACCATTACAAAGCTCAAAGCTGTTCATGATTGGATTTTAGTCATACAATATTCCAACACCCATCTTTCCACCAGTGTATGGAAAGATTGTTTTATTAAAATGTAATTTTCCTATATATTTCCTAACAGTAAATTTTTACATTTGGTTTTATGTTATATAATTTTTATGAAGGGACATCAAACAATTGTTTACACTCATTCTCATGGATCAAAATATACATTGGGACACCTATCATCAAGCTTTTGTTACTGGTTGATGTTGTCACTTGTAGGAACCTTTATTTGTTATTTGTTTTGTGTGGCCGCACCCGCCAGTGCTCAGGGTTTACTCCTGACTCCGCACTCAGGAATCACTTATGGGGGACCATAATGGGGTGCCAGGGATTCAACACAGGTCAACCATGTGCATAGCAAGCATCCTACTCACTTTTTTTAAAATTAACAATTTCTTCATTTCAGTTCATTCACTTGCACTTTCCCCCTCTTTTAGCACTTTGTTTTGCTTATTTGTCTGGTGAGTATTTCTTTTTTTGGGGGGGGGTCACACCTGGCAATACACAGGAGTTACTCCTGGCTCATACACTCAGGAATTACTCCTGGCAATGCTCGGGGGACCATATGGGATGCTGGGAATCAAACGAGTCGGCCGCATGCAGTGCAAACACCCTATCTACGGTGCTATCGCTCCATCCCCATATTCTTTAGATGTTAGGAAGCATACAGTGGAGGGACAAGCTTTACAATAAAATATATCCAAGGTTTACAGATGGTCTTGATCTCTGCTATCACAGAATATAGTTAAGGGAGATTATGTAATTATATATCATGAGATCTATATTAGTATGTCATGATAAGAGGTTTATTTTCTTTTGTCTGCACTGGGGTGGAGATAGGACATAATTTTTGGTAATTGTAACAATTTCATGAAACTTCTGGGTTTGAGACTGATCACATTTATTTCATTTAGGTAATCCTAATTACCTTGCAAGATTGACATTCTACCTGTTTCACAGCTCCAGATTGATAAGCCAATTTCACCGAAGTCCCCTAGTTGGTGAGTGGTAGACCCAGGATTTGAACTCAACCAGTCTGTCTCTATAGTCTGGCATCTTCATCATGGCATCACAGCCCCTGTCCAAGCAAAGAAGAGTGCTGCCTCAAAATTTAGAGTCTTGGTGCTCAGCTGAATCATCTGGCTGCTTTTATTTTGTGACAGACGACTTGGGTGCATAATGATGTTCTCTGGGATTTTTCCCTTTTTCTTTTCCCCTGTGTAGACAAGCAAAACTCAGACATGGACAGCCTAGATTGAACCACATCCTCACTCTTGCCTTCCCTGCCTCATTTTATGTCCCACATCTACCCTGTGCAGAATTCTCCTTTTTCACTGGCATGGCCAGCTCTAGGATGGCTCTGAAAAAAATGAGGTAGAACTGAAGGGTGGAAGGAAGCAGAGCAGGGAAGGCATTGAGAAAGCTGTCGTGGAATCAGAATCACAGTGAAAACCCAGTGAAAGCCTAATGAGTTCTCTTTGTCTCTCCCATTAAACTTTCTGCACTGTGGGTTTCTGCGTTAGTGTGTCCAGCTATTATTTATCATGTGCCAATCACTGTACTGGGAAATGAAACAAGTCTCTGGTCTCATGGAAATTATATTACAGTGATGAGAAGATAGGTAAAGGGACAAACAGTGTGCTTTGGTAAAAAGAAAAGAGTAGGAGAGGAAGGAAGTTTAAGGGCAGGGTGGGAGAGTGGATGAGGAGAGCTACGAATTGCTTTATGTAGAGAAGGTAGGGAAGGCTTCTCTGTTAAGTGACATTTGAACAGAATGCGTAATGAGACTGTCTGGAGAACTTAAGGGTGAGGTTCCCAGGCAAGACATGCCTGGTGTGCTGTAGGGGCAGCAAGGAAAACTGTGGCTGGGAGTGGAATAGAGCAGAGAGCATAGTAGGAGGGAAGAGGAGAGAAGTCATGGAGGTTAGCTATGTGACACTTTAAGCCACTTAAAGTAATTTAACTTTTCCTTTGAGGGAAGGAGAAGTGACAAGGAAGGTTTAGAAAGATAAATGGCACAAGATGATTTAGACTTCATTAAAAGGATCATTCTGTCTTCTATGTGGAAAACACATGTGTGGTAGGAGTGGGGAGAGAATGGACAGAATAGAGGAGCCCAGATTGGGCATCGTTGTTGCAGGAATCCAGAGGGTTATGCAATTGGAAAGTGAAAAAGAGGACAGTCTCAGTGATTTGAGCCTGAGAAAAAAGAATGAATGGTCATTGAATGAGATTAGAAACTAGGGAACTTGGGGCCAGAATGATAGTACAGTGAGTAGG